CCCCAAAACCCCAAAACCCCAAAACCCCAAAACCCCTCACTTAGGTATCAAAATTGAATAGTTTTTTTATACAAAATTATATAAAAATGTCAGACATTGACCTAGACGACCTTTTAGAAGACGATCCAGAGACCAAGTACCACTCCCCAGAAGAGATTAAGTCGGTTGAAGCGATGAAGCTCGACCAGAAAATGTGAGCCCTCTTCGTAAAGAATAAGAAAATGGATCCTGAAGAAGGCAAGATGAAAATAGATACCCTCACCTCAATGATAGAGCTTGCTGAAAACAATAAAAAGATGGATAAAGAAGCTTACACTGAGGGCCTGAAGGAGAGCTGGCAAACTCATAAGCAATGGCAGCAAGATTGCACAGAAGATCTTGATCTTGGTGCAGCCAAAAATAGCCACCTCACTAGGATAAAGAAAAGAATTGAGAAAATTGAATCTGAGCTACAGACTCTAGGTGTTGATATTAATAATTTGGATGATGACGATGATGATGGCCTCCTCAGAGAACTCAACTCCGAAGAAGACAGTGAGACAGTTGAAATGGACGGTATCGATGAAAACTCAGATGAAGATAACCGAAACACCCACTACAAAGGTAGTAAAGTTAATGCAGTCAAGAGACTACCAACTATGGAAGAGAAGAAGACTGTAGTTGAACAAAGATCTTCAGCAGTGGTCGCCGATTTTGCCGGGAGAGATCCTGATGAAATTATGGAGGACAGAATGAAAGAGTATATCAATGCTATTGAATATTTGAAAAAGAATAATCTTTCAAAAGACCAAAAAGCTATCCTTGCTATCCTTGAAAGAGCTGAGAGGATTAAGAAACTACAGAAAAGAGATGATGTGGATGTGTTCGAAATTCCTGACCCAGTTACTCCTGAAGATCTTATTGGAGTGACACCACAGGAAAGAGTTAAAAAGTACCAAACATTAGTAAACATTATCAACAAAACTGCAAATAATCTCAAAATAATTGGAAGTAATAACTTCAATATCTTTAAGAAGACCAACAATAAGTTGGCCAAGGATAATTACGACAAGTCTATTTTCCTGTTTAAGAAGCAAAATGAGCTGAAAGCTGATCTGTTAAAGTTAGCAAAGAACAAGTGGCAGCCGATGCCAGAGCTTACAACTTCTGTTGAGAATTTTCCTGACCCCAAGGGTGCAGACCTGGAAGAAAGTGAGGTTAAGATAAAACTCAATATTCCTGAAGACTTTCAAAATGTAGGCAAATATTACTACAAATTCAAATGGATGGATGATGAGGATAACCTCAAGAAAATTAAAGCCAAGAATAAAGGAGATGTGGTTGAAGTTGGGCACACCATCGACTTCGGGCATCACAAAAAGTTCGCTGCCCTCAAGTGCGTGGTCAAAATCAGACTATGGCGTTGAGGCTTATTTGACAAAACAGTTTTTGTATGGGAAAATAACCTTGTCCCACTCAAGAAAGGACAGATGATTAAGAAGAACTTCAAATTTGAAGACTATAAGTTTTATGTGACTATCTACTCTGACATTCAAAGTGAGGAAGCTATGAATGAAATAAAAATAGTAGAAGCTGCATACATCCCTCCTCCATTTAAATCAGCAACTGGAGGTTCTCCGAAAAAGTTCAGGAGATCCACCACAACAAGGAGACAGACAATCAAAGAAGCAGCTGTCGAAAATGAAGAAGCAAAGAGGAGTGTCAAGATTCCGGAAGGAATCGGAATTGATGAAATCAAAGACCCAGACGTCCAAAGAAATCTCTGGAGTTGATACTACTGTAAAGTAATGTCCGAAAAATTCCAACAAAAGGTTGATGAAGCTGAGAAACAAAAGAAACCTGCTGATAATATGGTCACCACGAAACTTCTGCTGTTCCAGTCCCAAATGATGAGCATTCAAAGTGCTATTGAGAACGAGCAAGTTACTTTTGAACAATATATGGGCTTCCTTAAGAAAGGAATTGGCCATGATAAGACCCTTCTTCAATATTTTGAAGACACTGGAGCCACCTCTAAAGCAAATGCAGTCAGATTCAGAATCGAATGATTTGAAAAAGAAATGAATGGAGAAGTTGAAGGCACTGAGGCTGAAGAAGAAGAAGAAGAAGAAAGCGATGGAGATTATTAATCACAACAGTTCTTTTATATTGAACCAATTCTGACAGGAAAACCCATTGCATAACTTCAATGCTTATAAATTTAGAAGGGGTTTTGGGGTTTTGGGGTTTTGGGGTTTTGGGG